TGATCACTGGGAAACCAGCATGGGACTGATTCAGACTCCTGAATGTGGGTGCCAGTGAGAAGACCTTGGAAATCTATGGGTGTTCTTGTAGTAGATCAGTACTTATCCCTAGCATAGGAATGGACTTTGGGAGCCCATTCCACATGGAGGAATACTTTCTAAACCTAGACACAAAGGGGTTGGCCTATGCCCTATCCCAAAGAATATGACAGACTTTGAAGACCCCCTATGGAAGGCCTCAACCTCCCTGGGTAGCAGAAAGGGTATGGGATAGGAAGGGTGTTAGTTGGGGGTGGGGGCAGGGGAGAAGGGGAGGGAGAGGGACCGGTGATTGACATGTAGAATAATTTTCTTTCTAATAAAAATGAAGAGGTCATGAATTTGAGAGAGGAAGAAAGGAGAGGAGTAGGTGGGAGAAGAGAGCTAATAAAATGATTTACATACAATACTCATATATGAGATGAATTTTCAATAAATTAACACACCTCTCAATCTTCACTAGAGAAGCTTCTATTTGCAATTTGATTTCATTTACCACAGATACCACAGATATGTCATCAACATGCAGGGAGTAACACTGTAATTCTCAGTCCTATATGGGATATCTTTATCATATTCTCTACTACCAAATCTCAAGGAAAAGTGCAGAAAAGGCGCAGGAAGACTAGAAGAGCCAAAAATGGTACATGATTACCAGGATTCAGTATTTTCCAGACACAGCAAGGAAGATGCACATATGAATTCTGAGTGGTTGTGAGAGCATGCCCAAAGCCCACACACAAATGCAAGCAAGACCAGTTCCAGCATGGAGGGCTGAGGTGAATGGGTACAAAATCCCACCCCTAGCAGCTGCTTTCAAAGGGAAAATCGATTTTCTTTTATGAACATACCCCTGGTAAGTCAGCCACTTCCCAGGGTAACACCACACTTGCAAGAATATAGAAACAGCATAAATTGTACTTCCTGGGTTGTTTTAAGAAGAAATGGGAAAGAGCAATGGCTCAGCAGTTAAGAGCACTGGAAAGGAGCTAGGAAACAAGGAGGACCCCAAGAGAAGATTGCATAGTACCTAGAAGAAAGGGAGAGGGGCAAGAACCCCTGAACAAAGTGGAAACAGGGGACGTGGATAGAGAAGAAGGTGGTGGGAAAGGAAGAAGGGGATGGGGAGGAGAACAAGATGCCTGAGAGAGGGGAGGAATAGAGGAGGGCAAGAAAGGAGATGGCTTGATAGAGGGAGACAATACAGGTATGGAAAGAGGTCTGGTATAGGGGAAATGTTATGGGATCCACAGGGATAACCCCAATTAAGAATCCAAGAGGTGGGGGAGAAAATGCCATTGATGCCCTTCCCCTATAATGACATTGATGTCTACCTTGGTTACCATTCCTAGAGCTTTCATACAGTAGCTGATCCATGCAGAAACGGGCACCTAAAGGTAAGCACTGAACCCTTCCCCTGGAATCCAATTGTAGAGAGGGAGGAGGGATGAGCAAAGGAGCTAAGACGGTGCTGCAGAAACCTGTAGAAACAGTTGACCTGACCTAGTGAGAGCATGGAGACCCTAATCATATAGCTGCGGAAACAGCATTGGACCAAACCAAGTATGTGAGTGCAGCTAGGAGGCCAGGGCAGTCTATGGGACCTCTAACAGTGGAGCCAGTCTTTAACGCTAGAGCACAAATGGACTTTGGGAGCTCATTCCCTGTGGAGGGATACTGTTGCAGCCCAGATACAGCAAGGAGGGCCTAGGCTCTCCCCCAAATGATATGACAGACTTTGAAGGACCTCACTGTCCCTGGGGAGGAGTTTGGGGCTGGGTTGGCGGTTTGGGGGGTTGGGAGGGAACATGGGAGGATGGGAGGGCAGAGGAATGGCGGATGGATATATAAATATGAGTAGTAATTAAATAATTTTAAAAAAGAGCACTGGCTGCGCTTCCAGATGTCCTGAGTTCAGTTCCCAGCCACCACATGGTGGCTCATAAGTATCTTTAATGGGATCTGATGCCCTCTTCTGTCCTGCAGGCATGGGAAGATAAACTCACTAGTAGAATGAGTATTTATCCCTAGTGAAGGAATGGCATTTGGGAGCCCATTCCCTATGGAGGGATTCTCTCTCAGCCTAGATACACGGAGGAGGGCCTAGGTCCTGCTCCAAATGATGTGACAGACATTGATAATCCCTCATGGGCTGCCCTACCATCCCGATGCCCAGAGAGTGGATTGGGGTGAGATGGGGAATTGGTGGAGGGGATGGGAAGACCAGAGGCAGAGGGAACTGGGATTTGTATGTAAAAGAAGATTGTTTTTCATTTAAACAAAAATTTATTTTAAATAAATGAATATTGAAGAGGAGGAGGAAAAGAAGAAAACAGGACACAAAGTTAGGTGGGTAGTAGAAGGGATGCATACCAGAGAATAATTGGGGATAGGTGAATATGAGAAAACATATTATATGAAATTTTTAAAGAGCTATAAATAGGAAATTCTCAAAAAATTAAAATTATTCTAAATGTCCTACATAAGCAAAAATAATTCACAAGTATTTGCTTGGGCCTCATTGAGTGTCAAAATACAGGTAGCAGGTGTAACTACAAGAAATTTGTAAGATGAGTAATGTCATACAAGAAAATGTTCACAACTTTGATAAAGGAATCATATTCTAAATGTGCAATGGGTTATAAAATAAATTATAAGAGAAAACATGCAATTAAAATTAAAATATTCTTAGAATATTGCTATTATTAGCTCACTAGGAAGATAAAATTGAAGTATAATAATACACTCTTCTGCTGATGTGTTTAGAATATAAAATCTCACTCTGTTGATGTTTAGAGGGAAACAAGTTGACTGAACCTTTCTCATTGCTGTTAGGATGCAAATGTCTCAAACATCCTGAAAATCTGCATGCCAGATTCTTACAGACTGAATCAAGCCCATGCCAAAGTATTCATAAATTTCACTTTCAGATATTTATTTATTACATTATACATTTTAATCCAATCACTTACCTTCCAATCCTCATAAATAGCTCAAATATTGCCATGATCTAAAATAGCCAGAGCGTTACTTAAAATGGTATAGACAGCTAAATTATTACATATCAATGTAAAGTTATCTCTCTACAATAAAAGTCAGTTACTATACAAGTCACAGCATAGAAGAATGACACAGATATTCTACTGAAAAGTTACAGAATTAAGTTTGAAAACATGATGCATAAATTTATTGATATGAAGTGGTGGAAATACAACGCCACAATAACAAAAAGAAAAGTTATTACCTACAGTGGTGGAGTTGAAAAGAAAGGAACAAGAGAAATTCCTCCGTAGATTAAGACTAGTTCTAGCTTGAAGGGGTTTTACTCATATAAACACACTTATTTGTCAATGTCCCTGACCTGAACTCTAAACATACTTGAACTATTCCTGAATAGAAAATGTTTTTCACACATGAGTCTTTTGAAAGTGGGCATAAACCTGTCAGTTGTTAAAGATCTTTGGGAGTAACTTGGAGAAAGAAAGCTAAGGCAATTTACCTGGATAGGATTTTTTTAAAAATGAAAAGACACAGAAACATGAAAAAACAGTGTGTTCATACAGATGAGCACAATTAACAAAGACCCTAGAAAGAATTTGTAAAAATTTTGTTCTGAAAATGCCAGATAATATTATTCAAATCTAAGCAAGGTTAATTTAAAAGAAATTGGGAATCTATATGAAAAAAGAGCACATATAACTCAGGCTGATTTTTAGAATTCATAGTTCAGAAAATTAATTATGAATTTATGGATTAAAAAGTACGCTTGAAATATTAAAATTAATGACTGAAAATTGACTTAGAATTATATTTTTAAAACCCAAATGATAATTAAAGGAATTCATTCAGCACTCTTATGTTTACCATTTTATAACATTTATTGTGAAAATAAAGTATGACATCACAAAGTCATTTACAAGAACATAGGACATGAAGTGACCACCAATACAAACATATATTAGCACAAAGATTGGAGAAAAAACATGGAAACTGGACAATACCCAATATCTGAAAATGTCCTTTCCAGTTACATATCACAAAAGTTACAGAGACAATTAGCAGAACTTCAAAATGTCATGTTACTACTTGAATATATGAATGATGTGAGTAGCTATTATCATATTTGTTTAATTTTCAGCTATACTTTTATAATTGCTAAGAGTCAAATGACAAAGTAGTTTCAAAGCATATGCTACTATGAATTAAATGAAAGTCACTAAATGTTTTGTTGTTTTGTGGCCTAATGTCTGTTAGGTGTGTTTACTTTGCAATATTCTTACAGAGAATCCTCAGTATTCACTTATATACGCTTGAAAAGAAGTATTTTGCCACAGTTAATATAGATGGGACAGGGAGCCAAAGAGCATCTTGTGATCTCAGAGCTGGTTACTTACTGACACGGATGCATGTGGGTTGAGGAGACCAACCATTCTCTGTACACATAATTGTGTCCTGACCATTTGGAAGACTGTAGCCAGAGTGACACTTGACTTTTAAAGACTGGTCCTGTAGATAGCTTCCTTTCCATTCTAAAAGTTTCCCATGCTCCACATATGGGAAACTACATTGTCCTAAAGACAATAAGATGATCAATTAAAAACATAAAAGCATTCACTTATTCAAAAAAAATTAAAATTTGTCTTTACAATAGTTAAGTGCATGGAGCACTCAAAAATAAAACCAATACCAAATGTTTTTATAAGTACCATTTATCTTTAGTTTTATGAATAAAATATTCAAGCAATAAAGACATTCTCATAGTTCCTATTTTTCATGTTCATTTCATGAAGAGCCACTCACATAGTACAGAAACTAGTCCTTTTTGCTTATAAACTCTTCTGCTGGTCTTATTTTTGTTATGAGACTCAAATGGGATTATGTATGTGCTCTTCTCTTTTCACTCTTTGATAAAATTAAACATGCTTTAATGTAGATACTGACTTACTGCGGCATGGGACTTCAGGCTTCCATCCTTGTGCAGTGCAGTGGATGTTGTCCCAGTGCATCCCTGATGGAGACACAAATCCCCTGTTGCAATAATAATCGAACTTCTTTCCTATAGGTACTGGGAAGTAAGGTCTGTGTCTCTCTGCACCATATAGACCTCCGTTTTTTATTTCTGGAAAATCGCAAGGTTTCACTTGTAATAAAAAGAAGCAAACAGAAAAAAAAACTCATATCAGGAATAAACCACTTGATCAATGAATTACTTTCTATTAATTACAATAACATGTGTAGAGAGTGTCTGAGACAAGTGTCGACAGCCAGGAAAATTCTATTAGAGGATTTTTGGAGATCCAAACTTGTACAGGACAAGTGAGGTCAGAGAAAGTTAGGAGCAATCAAACAGAGGGGTCTACCAGAGGAGAGATAAATGGCCTGTGGCCAGGGAAGCACAGTTAAGAAACAGCCAGGAAGATGCGGAATAAAGAAGAGACTCCAGTTTTGCAGCATGGAACTGAGAGCTCTCAAAAGATGACAAGATGCCTGTGTTTGGTTTTTATCACCATTGGGTTACTAGGAATTCCCAATTCCACAGTCCCCCACTTAGGCCCAACCTCATGGTATGGGTCTGAGATATACCCAGTCACGGCAAAATGGCACCTGAATGTGGGACCTGAGAACGGGGGAAGCAGCCATGGACACCACAAAGAAAGGGACACCAAAGAAGCAATGGACAAGGCAGAGGCATGGACACTTTGAAGAGATAGTCCTCGCAGGTGAATGGGTCGGAGAAGAAGCAAATGCAGAAAAAAGAAGAAAGAAGTGGCCGAATGTGGTGATTGAACAGCATTAAGTCAGGAATAAAACTGTATATAATTGTAGAAATAGGAAACAGTTATTTGTAATATAAAATAGGAAGATGTCAGCCAGCAGCTGACAAAAATGGTAAATTGAGTTATTTAACCAATAAAGCAAAAAATGCAAAAAAGTATATATAAGACGAAAGTATCAGCCAGCAGCTGACATAAAAGGTAAAGCTGGTTATTTAACCCTTAAAGTAAAAAGGTACACAAAGTAAATGTGAGACTCAAATGTCAGTCAGATGATAAAGTAGTAAAATGTAGTGAGTTAAACTCTGGAGAGAAAAATGCAGGTAATTGTAAATATGAAACAGGAATATTAGCCAGATGGTAAAGAGAAGTATGTTAGCCTTGAGAGTAAAAATGCATATATTTAGAGAAATCAGGCAAATAATTGTTAGTCAAATGATTGTATATTCATTTACTTGGGTATAGTTTAATAGCCAGTAGAGCTGAAACAAAGCAAAAGCAAGTACAGACGATTTTAGAGTTTAGGGGTTTTAAAAGGATTCTTCCCGCTTGCAAAAGCCAGCGCTGTGACTCTGTCATGGCGTTGTGCCGGGGCTTGGGAAGACATATATGTGGCCTTGCATACACGCAGGACTGCAGTAGATATCTAGAAATGTAATGGAGAATAGAAAACTCCGCGACTACTAAGGGTCAGCTGGATAGTAAAGAATAGACAGGACAAATGATTGGGATGAGCAGGAAGAGTGTTAATAAGGACCAAGATGGGGAGTCTTCACCTCCTTCCTTCATTTTAAACTGGGAATAAAGAGAGGCAAATAAATACACAGTGGTAAAATTCAGCAGGATCTAAGAGACTTGAAAGCTTTAGCTAAATTGCTTACAGGAGATAAGAAATTTACAGGTTCCCTCAGATCAGAGAGAGAGAGAGAGGCTCAGGGGAACATAAGCAGGATGCATGTGCCAATACCATTCACCGCTCAAGGAACCAAAGATGGCTTATGTCCAGTATGGAACAATAGCAATTTTTACCCGGACACTGATAAGGGATATTGCTGTAGATGCCTCACCCCTAGGAAATTGAAAGCGGGTAACCAAGGTCAGGAGGAGAG